AGAAGCCAGCAAGCAAATGTAAGGATCTTGAAAAAGTTACTTCAATATGAACTACTAGGAAAGTTTTCGCCACACTGGCCTGGAAATTTAGAAAGTTGTAAAAATATAAGCGGAACACGATTTCTGTAAAGACTCTAATGAGTGAGGCCACAAAACTGTTACCCAACTTACTATAAATAAATGCATTTGGCAAGCAACAAGACGCATATAGCATCAAATTAGGTCAGTCTTGTTCAGAAACTACCCTGTTTCCCCGAAAATAAGACCTACCCCGAAAATAAGACCTAGTACTATTTTTGGGAATTGCTTAAATATAAGACCTACCCCAAAAATAAGACCTAGTTGTGACCATTCCCAGGGCCGGTGGTGGCATAAGGGGGAACTTTGAAAAGTCGCCGGAGAGAATCAGCGGTGCCAACAAAGCCAGCGCTAGAGGAAGCGAGGCGGCAGCGGAGGGAGCAGAGCCGCATAAACCGATGCCTCCTCTATAGCGCCGACTCCGGTCACAGGCGGAGTGATACCAAATGCACTTCGCCTGTGAGGAATCGATAGTGAAAGCTTCGCTAATTCTGGCCAGCGCTTGGCTAGCAAATTGGTCTTGGAAAGGTACGGCACCCCTGATTGCCCTGATTACCATTTCTTGTACATGAATACATGTAGACTGTTGTACATGAATAAGTGTGGATTGTTGTACATAAAAAAAAAAATAAGACCTACCCTGAAAATAAGACCTAGTGTGTTTTTTTGAGCCCAAAAAAATATAAGACAGTGCCTTATTTTCGGGGAAACACGGTAGTGCTTGAAATGGTTGTAGTTAAAAGATTAATTGATATTGTGATGCATCACAGGAGCTTTTAGCTTTACCATAATGGTACTTGCAGTGTAATACAAAGGCCTCATCTATTAAAGAAGTGAATTAACAGAGGGCATAAATCATTTCACACATTTATAAATGGTGTGCAAAGTGTCGATTCAAAAGATTTAAAAGCAGTGTATGTATAAAGGGTGACAATCAAACAAATCCCCCGTATTATGAATACAAAATATTTGTAATCTGTAGTCTTGTAGTAACCTCAATGTTATTTGCTTGATAAAACATACAAAATCACCATCATTACATTTATGGAGCTAAAGTGGCTCTTCAAGAAAGCATTTGAATTATTAGCGCAACTTGTCAGAGTCATGCTCAAACTTCACATGCAGCTCTCTGTAAAAGTCATTCTAGGTAACAAATAATCAGTGGGTTCTTGGTGATTCACTGCAGTCAGAATCTACAAACCTCCTCATGTGTTGTGGGTTAGCTTCCTAAAACCTTTGCTGTACGCTGAACTTCTCTGTGTTAATGGTCACCACTCACAACTAAAATTCTTAGGCAGGTTTGATTAGTTAGTGGCTTGTGAAGATTTTTTTTTAATTTAGATGGATAGGCAGATTATAACTCTTTCATTGTTTGTTCACTTTCATATGTGTATTTTTCAAAAGATCACTGTAAAAGAACCTTATTTCTTGTTATCCTTATTACTGGGCCTACTCCAGCTGTGTTTTTTAGACCTTGTGTAGAAATCATGCGAGTCTATCTTCCATCCCTTTTTTCCCCCTAACATTGTACCTTTCCTACCCCGCTTCCCCTCCTTTTTTACCATCCCTGCGCTCCCCCTTCGGGTCATGGGTTATTATGTGATAACACTGGTAGTTTAACATAGGATAGCTTTCCTGCTCAGCTGTCTTGTCAATGGATATTCTTTTATTCATGTGTGCTATGCTTGTGCTTAATTATTTTGGTACACCCGAGTGTATTTGAAGAAACCTTTTGTGTTTTATTTTTTTTGTTTCTTCTTTACTTTGATTCTCTACCTGCACTATTTTGTTGAACTTTCTGTATATTTGCCAAATACTCAATAAAGTTCACCTATTAAAAGAACCTTATTTCTGTGTTTTGTGGTCCTGTGAACGCTAACCTTTCACCTTGTTGCTTCAGTGAGTGCTCATTAATGTCTGACGGAAAAAGTGAAAAAGCAGAAGTGACGTTGCCAGGTCTAAGCATTGTCGGAGAGGATAAGTGCATGCGCACTAGGATGTGGCGGGCAGAGATCTTACTGATCACTGATGGGGAAAAGCAGAAGTGATGTCGCCAGGTCTGAGAGTTGTTGAGCTCAGAGCAGGGCAAGTGCATGTGCAATAGGATGGAAAAGACAGATCCCTTTATGCATACACACAGCTTCCAGATGCTAAAAACATTAGGGGGAATCAGCTAGTTCAAAAAGCGACAGAAAATGAAGCGTACAATAAGGGAAGCAGCAGGATCACCAGGAAATTTAACAATATATTACACGGAGATAACTGAGCATAGTAGGATTGTGCATATATTTAATGTGGTTGATGTGTTTCCTGTTGCAGGCAGGCGGAGCCTATATCTCGATGGCTGTCCTGGAAGATGACTGGGGAAACCTTGCTATAGCCTTTTTCCCTTTTACATGAAATTCCACTTTTAGCACTGCCACACTGATATCAGGCTTTCTGTACCCAAGGCAGCATGTAGTATACTGTGGCTGTCTTTACAAATACCTCTCCTGCACAAAAATAAATACCCAAATGGTACTTCCAGATTAGCAAATTACCTTCGGCGTTGGATTAATACTATATTTTCCCCTAGACTAGCATTCCTCTACAAATGCTTTAGGCGCAGCACACCCAACACCTACGCACACCAAACAATTCCACATTAAAAACGTGAAGAAATCAAAGACCCAGTGGACTAAACATTTGGTCACTGTACTGAAAAACAGAATTTTTGTTCTTACTGTAAAATCCTTTTCTTAGAGTTCATCAAGGGACACAGGATCAGTAGAATTCATGAATATTGGATTATACTTTCATCTCCAGGAGTAATTGAACACTGGCAAACAAAAAAAGTAATTGGCTAGCCAAGTATTACCCCTCCCACTCCCATTATGCTTAAGTTTTTTAGAAAAGCAGTATTAGGAGCAAATCATAAAAAACACACAAGGGGTGGGACCTCAGTCCTTTAATGAACTACAAGAAAAGACTCTTACAGTAAGTACAAAAATCCGGTTTACTTAAGCACACATCAAGGGACATGGGATTAGTAGAATTTAGAAACATCGGGATATCCCAAAGCAGTCCAACTGAGTGGAGGGCAGAAGCCTGAGAATAAAAATAACAAAGAAAAATACACTGACGGTTGCCTGCAGCCACTGGAGGCTGTACAGGTGGAACTTTGTGAGCTACAGTTTGCACAAAGGGCATTGCTAGAGAATGGGAAGCAAGCAATCGTTGAAACAAAATCACGACAGCAGAAATTTGTCCTTTCATGGTACTCAAATGTTGAATCAGGCGGGACTGGAAAAAAGCCAAGATCTGCCCAATGGAGTATTTCCAGCGATAAAATGGTGTGATGTGGACTTCCAGGCTTTCAGGAGTATAGGAATGACTGAGCCAAAAAGACCCCTATCGCCCCATGCCTTCAAAACCAGTGAGCATCAAGGGTGGGACAGAAAAGCTGAATGATCTGGAAAAGTCCACAGGGTGTCTGACAGGACTCAGATAAGGTCAGAGTACCTCATCAGGACCCATATAGAGTCTGGACAGCCCAGCTGACATTGTCCGGCAAGGTCTGCACTGACTGTTCTCTTAGAAGGAGATATCAAGATCTCGCCATGGGAATGCTCTGTGAGTGTTACAAGGCCAGCATGGGAACTAGGACCTTTGTGGAACACTCAGAAGACGGTGCAGAAGACACACCAAGAGGAAGGGAAACATCCTGGTAGTGTTGTGTGTCCCCTGCCAAATGCAGAAGCGTGATGTGCTGGAAAGATGGGGACATCAAGGATACATACATACTTGCATGTCCCCATCTTTCCAGCACACTAACAGATCTGTGTTTTGCGTTGGGTTTGTAATACTAATTGGTTTCTTTCCCTTCCTCTTGACCTGTTTTCTGCACTTGGGTGTTTACCAAGGTTCTAGCTCCAGTCAGGCTGGCCTTGTTACACTCACAGAGCATTCCCATAGTGAGATATCTGGATATCTCCTCCTAAGAGACCAGTCAGCGCAGACCTTGCCGGAAAACGTCAGCTGGACTGTGCAGACTCTACAAAAGGTCCTAGATATGGTACTCTGACCTCATCTGAGTTCCCATACTTAGATATCTCCTCCTCCTACATAAGCCTTAAATCGGAACCAAAGTCCACTAAATTCACCACAGCTCCAGTGATGCAACATTTGCGAGCTCCCATGGCAACATCTTCTGCCCTTCCTTTTCCTGGTCCAGAGTCCTTAGCTATCTTGCTGGCGAGGAGACACCAGGCTTTTACACCGAGTAGTGCATTCGCTGATCATTGTACAGCGTAAAGAAGATTGCAAAGCCATTATTGCGGAACAGACATAGTGTGTCCCTTTTGTGGCAACAGACACTGCCTGCTCGCAATTATTCAGACCACAGTTCTGCAGTAATAAGTCACATTCAACTTAATTTGTTTTGCCATGTTAAAGATTTTTGACCTCTCATCCACCTGAGTAGTAATGAGTGTGTATCAGCAACATATCTCAGCATTTACACCAATACACAAAAGCTGAGGTTTGTTTCTAACACTCATTGGAATAAAAGCAACATAAATGAATGGTGAAACCCTTTTAACGTTACAAAACAAATCCACATGTTTAACCAACTACTACAAGCTAGAGAAAAGGTATGACTCTACAAAAATGTCCTTAAAGCCCTTGAAATATAGGTAGCTTACTTAGAGACGATTTTCTTTTTCCGAAACAAATAAACAAGGAGCAAAGTTTACCTGTTTTAAGAATATGCCAGTTTAGTATTTACAACAGTGGAAGATATTTAACAATTCACATTGGTAAACCCTTCAAAATGGGTATTTTATCATTCACTTTGTTAACTTCACAAAAAGCTAACACTTTTAATATTACCATTCCGTGTAAAACTCTGAGACAGCAATATAGCCCAGTATGCAATTACTCACCGCTCTCGTCTCATAAAGGATCAGCTTCTGAATACCACTTATTAGAGGAGCTGCAGGTGGCATTATGATGATCCGGCTGTTTAGCTCATAGGATTACAGAGATAAATTATCTAAAAAAAAAAAAAACAAACAATCACATAGTAAGAATGCAGTGATAAAACTAGAAGGGAAAAAAAAACAAAAAACTTAAACATAGAAAGTACAGTACTGTAGAATACTATACTAGGTAAAGAGCAATAATATAACATGCATATGACAGAGAGATTTAGCACTAAATGGAGTTTAAGGACTCCGCCCACTCAGTAGTGCATTTTAGGGCTTGTTTGCCCATTCTTATTCATTCAAACATCAAAGTAACACAGAATTCTGCCCATGTTTGGGGTTGTTTAGCATTACATTAGGACAGAACTGGCACAGTCTACTCACATACAGAGTGCTACTTGCTTAGCCAGTCTGTTTAGACACAAACTACCTCTGCGCCTTCACAATCTCCAGCTCTCAAAACATCAGTCTGGCTCAGCAGCTTGTCTGTGTAGGCCAGATAGGTCTGCCCATTTGTCAGACTTCAAGCACATATGAGCAATGACTGACTAGAGCAGGGGTGGGCAACTCCAGCCCGCCAGCTGTGCTTTAACTACAAATCCCAACATGCCTCTACCTCTGGGAGGCCTGTAATTGTCAGTCTTGCAATGCCTCATGCGACTTGTTCTTTAAAAGGAGAACTATGGGGTCAGTGCTTTTCCCCATAGTTCTCCTAAGGGTAACAGGAGGATACAAACTAGTGTCCTCCCATCACCAAAAGCTCAGTATACCGCAAGCTACAGCTCGCGGTATACTGAGACGCCGCAGCCGGAACGGATCCCGACAATGCTGTCTGAATCCACCCTGCTGCGCGAGTTACAGCTGGTTCTGCCTATCTAGAGGCAGAGCCAGCTGTACCCGCCCCGTCCGTTCCGCTAGTCAGCGCTGGAGGATCGAACAGGGGAGGGGGGGATCCTTGCAGGGAGCCGTGAGAGACAGTCACGGCTCTCTGCACAGATAAATCGAGAAGTGAGCAAGCGACGGTATGTGTTCGCTC